CGCCAAAACCCCAAAACCCCAAAACCCCATAGTTCGTGATTTGCACTTAATAAAGGAATCCGTGAATATAAGTGGTAGCTGACTTAATAATTATAAATAAAAGATACATATTTCGTCATTAAAAATGAGAAAACTCTTAGTCGGTGGTAACTGGAAATAAAATGGAACTGTCAAGTTCGCTCATGATTTCTCCTAGAACGTCCTCAACAAGGCTAAGTTTGATGCTAATAAGGTAGAAGTTGTAGTTTCACCATCAACTCTTCACCTACTAACTGCAAAGCAAGCTCTTCAAAACCATATCTAAGTATCAGCCTAGAACATTTCTTAATACAAGAATGGAGCTTACACTGGAGAACTCTCTGCTGAGATGCTGAATGATGCTGGTATCCACTGGACTATTCTCGGTCACTCAGAGAGAAGACACGTTTTCGGTGAAAGTGATAAAGTAGTTGGAGAGAAGGTTAAACATGCCCTCGCTCACAATCTTAAGGTCATCGCTTGCATCGGTGAAAAGTTGGATGAGAGAGAGTCTGGAAAAACCCAAGTTGTCAATGAGAGACAACTCAATGCTATCAGAGAACTTGTCAATGACTGGTCAAATGTAGTAATTGCCTACGAGCCAGTATGGGCCATCGGAACTGGAAAGACAGCCTCTCCAGAGCAAGCCCAAGAAGTTCATGATTAATTAAGACAATGGTTAAAGAGTAATGTCTCTGCTGATGCTGCCAATGCAACCAGAATTCTCTATGGAGGTAGTGTTACTGAGAAGAATGCTGATGAACTCATTGCAAAGAGGGACGTCGATGGTTTCCTCGTCGGTGGTGCTGCACTTAAGGAAGGTTTCCTTGATATCATTAGAGCTGCCAATGATGCCAAGAAATGAAGATTACCTTGAATTAATAAGAGATGATCTAAGCTTTTCTATTTAATTTATTTAACAATCTTATTTCAATAAATAATCATAGGCTCTAGGGGTTTTGGGGTTTTGGGGTTTTGGGGTTTTGGGG